TCAGGCTCTCCTAGTATTTGCACTTCAGGAGAATATCTGACATTGTGAGTCATAGTTAAAGAGGTACATGATTTGTATGAGAGATAGATGTAGTCCACAAACACTCAGATGCGGAATATAAATATTGAAGTACCTCACATACTTTTAAACATCATCAAGCAATAGAGAAGAGACCTTAACAATAAAATATTGTTCACACAATTCTATTCAATCTTACTTCTCTCTTAGTAGTTGTAAACCAAATAAGCAACCCTTTGAGCCTTCCTTGTCAAATCTCCATCTACAAAAAGAATCTCAATTGGCCCAAATGAGTCTGAGTCTATCCAGATTATCTCTGCTTTAGAGCTTGATATAAATATTGAAATGCCTCCTAGCTTTACAAACGTTATCAAGTAACGTCACCCACTGGGAAGTAATATAAGACCGGAATATGACACAGTCTCACATTGTGCAATAAAGAGAAATGTCAAAGCATAGCAACACTCTTCAGAAGATAATTTTTCAAGCTATCATAACAAAAGATATATGAAAAGAACCACGTGAACTAAATAATAATAATTATATATCATAGCGAAAGGAAAGGACTAAAAAAAAGTATGATGTTAGATCAAGCATGTGGGAGTGGTGTAGGGAGGAGGGGGGTATACCACTCCGAAAAATGTTGCTCAGTTGACAGTAGGCTTGCGACTATATAGGGTCATATAGGGGGTAGAGATTGGTTGGCCTTGGCTGGGGAGAGAGTGTGTTCAGGGAGGTAGCCGGGTTAGTAGAGGGCTGAGAGTAATGACTGAAGACTATTCAGAATCACTGATATCTTCCGGTAAACTTTCCTCAGTAGAAATCTCTTCTGAATCAATTACCAGCAGATGAGGTGTCTTGGAAATGGTGATAATGTTTGTCCGCATGCAAGTAGGCCAGGGAGTTGTTGGTATATGATGTGAGGAGGAGGTGGTGGAAGGTTGGCACTTCGCTTTCGTAGGTCCTTTTTGAACACGGACTGGGGTACTTCCAGCTCTTTTCCCACAGGCCTTGGAAACAATTTTTTATACATCTTTGGTAATACATGCATCAAGTAGCTTGATCAGTACTGTTCTATCAAGTACTCTCGCTTCACTAAGCTTTTACTGGTCTATGGCATTGTAGAGCTTGCCACTTCTTTGAAGCCTTAGGCTTTGCTCACGCCAAAGTTCCTTACCAGCAATTTCTTCCTCCACCTGATGGCCGAGGGAGCACATTATTCCCTTGACCTAATCAATTGTGGAATCCGTATTGTTGATAGTAAGGTTAGCAAGGAGGTTCCCTGCAGCCACAACTTGGTGGCGTATCTCACCACTACCGATAGGCTTTTTGATAATACCCAGTGTATTGTGCCGCTTCTCGACTCTGGAGTTGAGTTTCACTAGTACCCGGCATGGATTGAGAGGATGGATCCCAGTAGCGGAAAAAGATTGGCGTATATTGTGTTCCGTAAAGTTTGCATGACGAGCTTCGGTCAGGAAAGGAATAAATATCCACTTCTTCATTCCTTGGAGGTTTTGACTAGAGCGAATATAGTTGTCAACTGCCAGGCCATAAAAATGCTAGTAGGAACTGAATAGGCCTACATTAAGGGGATGTAGTAAGTGAGTCGAGTGGGGAGGTAGGCAGGGAGTAATATATTATTTGAAAAGCATAATGATACGAATTCAAAAGTAATATGAAATCCATGGCTATCGAATATGAGGAGCCACGGGAGATCACCACATCTTGCCTCACTCTCAGGAATGAAAATCCTTCATAACCACTCAAGCGCCAACTGATCATCTGTCCAGCCCTTAGGTGAGTAGCTAAACTGATATTCTGTTTCCTTTTCCGTCAAATTTTTATACCATCCCATATAATGTCCAGCACCCTTGTTGATTATAAATGGTGACATAACAGTTCCGCCACTCCCAACTGTCTCAATAACTGTGACAAGTTCCCGTTTCCCATCGTGAGTGACTCTGAGGTTCCTCCTACCACGCTGGCAGAGGACCTTAACTTGCGAGGCCAACCCCATTAGAAATCCCTTTTCATCCATGTTGTATATCTGGAACTCTTATAGCCCATGCTCTTGTATGAGTCTTCCAAGTTTGGAAAAATAATCTCGTATAACCTCCGAATTGTTGTCATATGCACACTGTTGCTCCAGCCAGCTACTGAGCTTCAATACTAGGTCAGGATGCTGTCAAAGACACCTGGTAATCTAGTTCTTGCCAAGTAGGAGGAGGGTATCTCCTGTTCGCTTAAATTCTAAGTGAATAGCTACATCTTTTACTATGTCAAGACGCAGTGGAAAGCCAATATCATCCTAGGTAAAGCACCATTTAACAATAGCCCTCTCCTCCAACACTGTGAGGCACTACTATTCCTCGTAGGCAGCAGCTTGGGCAGTGGTCATTCCAGCAAGTCGACGGTATAGTGTTTGCAAGTTGACCTCAAAAGCCTTACTTGCAGTGGCCACATTTGGTTTTTTACCTGATTTAATTACACTTGTTGCTTGCTGTAAGCATTCCTCATATTCAGAATGGAACTTCTTTGATTGTGCCATTGTGTTTATAGTTGTATGGATCACTTAGCCGATATGAGAGCGGGTTTATCCACCCACAGAATGCCTCATTTCAGCGGATTCTGCCTTGTATCACATCCGAGTATTGTGTTACTTCCAGGTGATCGACATTAATAGAGCAGAGATCTTAATAATATAATGTTTTACTAATGAATCTTTATTATGATACAAGTGCTACCAAAAATGTGAGTACACAGGTTCTATTTCACCACAATAACAACAACCCTACTGCTGCCCCTCATATACTGGCAAAATACTATAAAATGATAATAGAAAGCAGAGAGAGAGCTCAAAATTAAAGCATATTGAGGTCATTCAGCCACAGGCTAAGGGTTATTCATATCGCACAATTGCTGACCATATAATGATATCAGCATCATCAGTTGGCAAAATCGTTCAAAAGTGGAACATGACATGAAAGGTGAAAAATAGTACACATTCGGGATGACCCTACAAAATTGGCCCCCGTGAACTTAAAAAGCTGAATAGAACAGCTGAGAATAACCTCTGAGTATCTTTAACTGAACTCACAAATGAGTCTAGGCTGAATTGTCATTTCCAAACTATTCGAAAAGGTTTTCTTTTTTTCTGTTTCACAAATTGGACTTTGCTCTGCAAATTCCCTATAGTAAACTCTTTCTGAATACTAGGAGCAAGTGGAAGAGGGTGATGTGATATTGACAAAGATGGCATTGGACAGTAGAGGACTGATACAGGAAGTTCTACTCTGATAAGGCAAAGATTGAGATTGAAGTAGGAAAGGGCTATAAGAGAGTTTGGAGGAAGCCTGGAACTGAGCTCCAAGATTGCTACCTTCAGGTAACTTTCAAAGGGCAAAGGATATCTACGATGTTCTGTGCTGCTATAAGCCATAGCCAGCAGAGCTATTTTATTGATATTTAGCAAAGACCCCCAGAAGAGTATCGGCATCCTAATAACCAGGGTGGGATGGATTCAGAGCAATACTACCTGGAGGTATTGCAGTCAGGGTTTCTTCCTTTGTAGGAGGAGGTGGGAGACTCTGCTCAAGGGTTTTCACAAGTAGAGAATTGTTCTAAGATTCACATTTCCGCATAAAGTCATCAGTTTAAGTTGAACAATAGTATCGCATGCTCAGACTGGCCTGGCTATAGCCCAGATCTAAATCCTATCGAAAATGTCTGGTGGACTCTAAAACGCTAGCTAAAAATCTGCTTCTGAACACCACAGTGATGACCCAGAGGTATCGCCGGGTTGATGTAAGTAGCACAAGAAGAATGGGATGGAATTGAACCAGAGACGATAGATAGGTTTATTGAGTCCATACCAATCCAAGTGCTACAGGTAATTCATTGTCATAGAGGTCATTTTGGGTGGTAATTTCTTGTTTATTTTTCTTTATTTCATATCTCTCTTACTTTGAACAGCAGTAGTCGATTGGTTGTTGCATGGAGTTTCATTTTCATAATAGTAGCAGTCTTCTTTAGAGAGAGCCAAGGCTTGTATGCACTCACTTTTTCAATGACACTTGTACTAGTAAACTTACTATTCTCATAAGTGAGTCCTTAGTAGTCATAAATGAAAAGAACATTACTGAGCCTTCCTAGACCCTCTCTATCTATACTAAAGATTCTAGCCTTAGTCTTCTTAATGCCTATTAGAGTTGGCTTCTACCTAACAGGAAGAGTTTAAGAAAAAGACTGTTTACAACCAATATATTATAACAATTCACTGTATTAGCAATACTTTCTACAAGTTTTACTCTGGGAATACTTGTTTAATTTGTACTTCCTTTTGGAAATTGGGCTTATCACTTTCAGTTGATGGTAGTATAGATCATGAGTTTAATATAAAAGGTTTTATGGACTTAGAGATTGGGGACTGATAACAGGAAGTAGAATTACCAGATAATGGTCCAGATGTGCAGAGTGAAGAGGATCATGAAATTGAAATTGAAGCTGAATTTGAATAACCACTATCAGTACTTTATTGACCTTCTCCTGCTCAGTCTCTAATATCTAAAAATCCAAATTTTGGCAGTTGGGCTAATCATCCTGTGTCTTTTTAATTACGCTTACCCCCTGGCGCAAGAGCTATCATAAGACACCGATCCCAGAAAGTGGATCCACTGGATTTTTGCGGTATTATAATAATATTATTATCATTCGTGCATAACTTATCCCACACAGGCCCCCCCAGGAGTTCGTAACCCTAACCAAAACATTGCTACTACAAGCCACAAGCGAGCCAGAGAAGAAAAAAGGTACAGGATTGGATCACCATATCTTACCCGTATTCAGACATCAACTCGCCCTAAAAACAAGCTTTTGAACCCACGCGTTCGCATACCAACGTCAGCGGGCCTCGGCACAAAACTAGTGCGGACATTTGTGTGGAGGTGGGTAAGAAACGCTTTCGTCCCCTATCAACCACCATGAACCGCATTTTCCGCTCCACCACTACACGCCCCCGCCATATACAGCCACTGTCGTCATTTCTTACTCCTCATGCTCATCGCTCACTCGCAACGACCACTTCATCGCCCCCACTGCCACTGTCGCCGTCGCAACGTGGTGCGCTATGGTACGCCCGCCTCGGTATAGTGTTCGTCGCTCATGGCTTGTTCTGGAGTTTCCTGGGGACGTACATCGTCGACCAGACGGTCCCGTTCGCGAAAGGTTTCAAATCCAGCTCGGTTACGGATTCCGATGACACAACGGTGTTCGAGCGTGCTGCCGATAATAACAGGATTGTCAAGAGTCTGCGAGGCAATCCGGACTACGAGGAGGTGAGGCCATGGGGCTCGTTGACTGACGAACAGAGGAAGACGAATTTGACCACGGGTCTTCTTGCTGGGAATGGAAAGATCCAGTATAATCGTGTGTGGATGAACAAGAATGATGGGAGCACTGTACTTGTGCTTGGTCTGGGACGGAAGCTTACGGGCTATCCGGAGACTATTGTGGGTTGATTCTGAACGAAAATAACGGGGGTGTCGGCTGATCGAAGGGGTTTTGATAGCACGGTGGTCTCATAGCTACGGTATGCATTTCATCTCGCTATGATTTAGCGTGTAGAGCTGATGGCTTCTGGGATAAAGATAACAGATGAAGCACTTGGAAGAACAGTAGGCCCGTTCCACCCCCACAATCCTAGACCACCCAGTTGACAACCCCAGGCACTAAACGTCCTCCCAACCCGCAATGTTGTAACCGCAAAACTAACATTAACCTACAAACGCCCGGCCATAGCCCAGCGCCCATCCGAACTCCGACCAGGTCCTAGGGAATTCATGGTCCTCAGGACCCGGGTTGTTGAGGTAAATAACCATGCTCGATCAATGCAAAAGCACCTACCGCTGATTATTAACCCTTTGCTAATAACGCCGCCGCCATAGTACACAGACCGCAAAGCGATTGTTCAGGGAAGAATGGAAGATGGAGAGGGTCGGACGCTTGTGGAGAGCGATGCTGTTTTTGTGGTACCAAAGGTGTGGAAATTGGCAGAGTTACCGAGAGAGGTCTAGGTCCCACCGATGTATCTTCAGCCGGTAGAAGCATAGAGGCCGATAAGATGTTGAGTGATTGGTCTAGCTCCACGAGTGCAGATGATATTGGTGTTATGTATGGTACTGTGAGGTTCATTGACAACTGCAGTTTAATATTTCGTAATCTGCACACCGTGAAGTAATCAACCCGATTCCGCCAATCCAATACAGTTGCCGTAGATGCCGCGAACCGGTACGAGTACACACGTTCTACAACTCCGTGAAGCCGGAAGCGGTCATAAAATCTCAGCCAATAAAACTCCACCTACTTGAGTCTCGTTGGACGTAATCGGGCCAGTATGCACTACTCGAGTAGGGCATGTTGGCGTTGGGGGTCTTTCTCTATTCAAAAGGATCCTTTGACATTCCAGCTGGTTTCTTCCTTTTCTCATAAACCTTATCACATTCGCCCCCACCCTCTGTACTGTATCTCGCACTTGATACATCCAACTAGACTACCGGTACTTCCTACCTCTCAATTCACCGGTTTGTGAAACCTTAATTCCAATCAATGCCCCTGTGTTCGCGGGTTAGGAGCCCAGGTTCACCTCAAGGATAACTAGCACCACCGAATATCGAGCGGGGTCTAATAAGTTAAGAATAAAAGGTCCAGGGCTGCAATCAAAACTGCATTACTCGAGTATTTCCGGACTTCCCAGCGATGGCACTGCCAAGGATGGGGTGCCGCCTCCCGAAAAAATGCACTTTTAAATCACGTCACCATCAGGTCACGGATATTGATATTGTGCTTCGCGGCCGCCCAAAACCATGGGCTATGGTGCAACACCCACAATGCTCAGGATGGTGTGACGTTCACTAATTCCAATGCCTAAAACCCATTCGGGCAAAAAAGCTGACATTTGGCGGTATGCAATTACTCGAGCACGGTCCTATTCACAAACGTCATCCCATTATTACAAGTGAAGCGGAGTGAGACTTGTGGAGAGGAATTCATACTGCTAGCAGACTATATAATGCCCTCACCAATCCTGGGCTCCAGAGGCCATATCGAGCTCACTCCGTCCCATCTGCTGATACGTTTCTGAAGATTCCCCCCACAATAAAATTGCAACATGTCTCTCTCCAAGCATGTATACCTCCCCTTCCTTTTCGGTGTGATCCCCTGGGGTGGTGAGAGACTCCTGTTGACCTTTGTTTAGGTCGACCCTGATGAGCTTATAGCTTCCCTTCCCGAACATCCTAGCGCACGCCAACCTCATCTTCACAGGCGAGCCATCCATCACTACACTTATGGATCTCGCTACAGTGCGGGAACCCCAATCCCAAAGTTTGAGATACCTGGCCAAGGCACCGAAGCCGGAAGTGTCCATCAGCTCATCAAAGATGAGCTTGATCTCGATGGTCGCCCCAACCTCAACTTAGCTTCGTTCGTGAATACCTACATGGAGACTCACGCCGATCAATTGATCATGGAGAACATTGCGAAGAATCTTGCAGATGCTGATGAGTACCCTGCTCTCATGGCTATACATTCCAGATGCGTTTCCATGGTCTCGAATTTGTGGAATATTCCCAAAGGGCAAACTGCGATCGGCACGGCAACTACTGGAAGCAGTGAAGCTATTCATCTTGGTGGATTGGCTATGAAGAGGAGATGGCAAGAGCGGAGAAGGGCGAACGGAAAGTCCACCGAGAAGCCTAACATCTTGATGGGCGCCAATGCTCAGGTAGCTCTTGAGAAGTATGCTCTTCTTACCCTTATTTCAAATACAGGCTAAAAATCGAACGCTAGATTCGCCCGCTACTTCGATGTCGAACCCCGCATCATCCCCGTTAGCGAGGAGTCCCACTGGTGCCTAGACCCCTCCAAGATCCGCGATAATCTTGACGAGAACACTATTGGTATCTTCGTAATTCTCGGTTCAACATACACTGGCCATTTTGAACCGGTTGAGGAGGTTTCGAATATCCTGGATAAATACGAGGAGGAGACGGGGATATCAATTCCTATCCACGTCGACGGTGCCTCCGGTGCAATGGTAGCTCCATTTACCGGTTCTGGGGGGAAATGGGGCTTCGAACTTCCCCGAGTTCATTCAATTAACACCTCCGGTCATAAATACGGCCTTGTTTATGCTGGATTAGGTTGGATCATCTGGAGAGGGGAGGAATACCTTCCCAAAGAGCTGATATTTGAGCTTCACTATCTCGGTGGGACAGAGCAATCATACACCTTAAACTTCTCTCGTCCCGGTGCTCAAGTCCTCGCACAGTACTTTAACTTCCTTCACCTCGGGAAAGAAGGTTATAAAACGGTGATGCGAAACGCCCTTAGCAACGCCCGCTTCTTGTCGAAGGCTATTGAAGCAAGCGGTTGGTACACCTGTCTTAGCGATATCCATCGTAAACGAGGCGTCTACGGTGGAGGTATCGGAAAAGGTATCAAGGAGGGCGTTAAGGAAGCCGTTCTTAGTGACGATAACCCCCATGTCTACAATGCCGGTCTGCCAGTTGTAGCCTTCAGGCTCAGCGATGAGTTTAAAAAGGAGTTTCCGCATGTTAAGCAGGCGAGCGTTTCCACCTTATTGAGAGCTAAAGGATATATCATTCCTAGTATGTTTGGACTCCGCGTTATCTCCTCAGTTCTACTGTTCTAACCACCTCATATATTACAACCTGCCACCCAACGTCGCGGAAATCGAAATCTTGAGAGTTGTCGTTAGAGAGAGCATGTCTGTGGACATGGTAGATAGATTGATTGGCGACATCTTTCAGGTCACCGAGACTGTGATGAAAGCAGATGCAGTAGACCTAGAAAGCCTAGCAGCCCCGAGCAATCCGAGAATTGAGAAGAGAATTCAGAGCATGGGGCTTGAGAAGAAGCCGCTCCTTGACACGGACTTCTACGGGATCTTGAAAACCACCTGTTAGGAGCAATTATGTGTTTGACTGTTAAACGGATAACTGCTTTATTTCTCGCAAATTCAAATTTTGCCAAAACTCTAAGGGTGCATCTAGTTGCCGTTCATTTTCGAAAGTGCCATAATAGCAAAACATTAAAGTCACAGGAAGGCGTTTGGTTAACGCACAGATACCGTAAGGCCAAGGTACTTTATCTGCAATTGTCACATACATCGGGGAAACCAATTTTTTAAAAATATTATTATTTGAAAACATTAGCACCTGAGCACGGATATTTATTTATTATGGTTTATGGGGGGGGTTTTTTTTGGTACCAATTATTGAAAGTAGCAGGAATGTGGCTGTAGTGTCCCCCCAATGCTTTTTGGGAGATGTTTCATTATGTGGATGCCTTCATTTTGACATTTTGGACTTGTTATCGCAATTCGATTGTTGCCGATCCCAGTCAATCAGATATGCCACTTTATTATATGTCAAAATGACGTTTTGGCTCATAACTCCAGAACCGGGGTCATTATTGGGGTTTTCGTTTGGGACAACTAGACGTACCCTAATTCTTTTATGATAAGCTAACCGGTGAGCGCGAAAGAAGCCATAATCATGTTAATTCTCCAACGTTTGCGAAAACACGCTATGATATTGCATGATATAGGGGAAATAAAAAATTGTCCGGGGCCTCAAGATCTTGGTGGTATGCAATAAGCTACCGTAGTAGTCGTGTTCATAGACGTCAGAGAATTGAATCACGAGTCCTGTACTGTACTCACCTAGCATCACCCCTACAGACTGCGGTTGAGCTACTATAACAGACGAGCAGCCCATTATTACATGTTCTTGAATACATTCCCGATATCCCGGGTCACCTGCGAGAGCTGGTTAAAATAGTGCAAAGTAGCCAAATTCTGATCATGGACCGCGCAGATGGCCCCCAAACTCGCCCTGTGCGTCTGCGCAATCTCCGCCTCCCGCTGTGCCAGGACCCGCTCCCCAACCCGGCAACGAGCGCCCCTACGCGCGCTGATAACTCACTCGTAGTCGCGAAGGCCGGGTCAAGCTCCGCCGGGAACATTCCCCAGGATACTTCCCCGAACGCCCGTCTACCGTCAACTATCGCCGGGCGCACCAACCGCCCGAAGAAGGAGTGCGCGTGCCCCGGGTCCTCCAGTGTCTCGCGGACCGGGAGCTGCCTGAAACCGCGGTGGCCGAGCACAGGCATGTGGTTTATCGCCACCTGTGAGACGACGCCTTCAGTGACGCGTGTGATGAGTGAGTACTCGATTCCCAGGCGATTGTAGAGATGCGCGACCCCGGCATCTGTATTGTTGTCGGGACTACTACTAGTACTATCTGCTTCGTTGACCCGCACGCCGAACGGGTTCTCCTTGAGCGGTTTCCCCGCGAGTTCGCAGAAATTCGAGATCTGGCCGGGGTTTAGTAGGCGCTGGTTCGCGCTAGGTAGGTTCTGCTCACGTATGCGAAGACCCCATCCGAACGGTCCTTTAGGCGCCTTGTTGGGGCGTTGTTGCTCGATAGGAGCTTGCTCGCAGCGGTGGGGGGATGTGGGGGGATGCGGGTCGCTGGGGGGGTGGGGCGCAGATACGGACTAGTCTCCTCAATGTTGTGGGAGCGGGGAGGGAGCGGGGGTGGAAGAGCTGGAGGCACATGGTACGATAGTCCCGGGAGATGCTGGTGGGTGGGTAGAGAACTAGGGTTTCGTGCTGCACCTCGTCGGAGTCCGAGAAGCAGCCGAGAGTTGGCAGCTACTGCAGATGTCGTAGTTTGCGCAGACGCGGCAGATAACACGGGTCCCAGTAGGGGATATCGGGGTTGAGCAAGCATTGCAGGTTAAGGCCGTTATCATCTTCTCCTCCTCGTTCTCATCGTTTGGTTAATGCGCAGGATGTTGCGGTTGGGGAGAGAGGAGACGGGTACAGTCGTGTCCGTAAAGTCTTCATACCCCGGCGGCGCAACCACACAACCACAACACCTCTCCATGGAAAATTGAAAAAAAATTCAAACAACTCAATTAAGAAAAGTATATGAATAGAACTAATAAGCCTTAAGAAAATATTATTACCACTTTGTATGACCACCATCTGCATCTAGTACAGCCTGTATTCTCTCAGGCATCCTATCTATCCACCCATCCAACTTCTCTTGGGAAATTAAATCTCATTCCTACTTTGCTGCCTGAAATAATTCAGCAGCACTGTGAGGCCTCCTATCCAACCTGGAGAATCAATTTCTGAGGGCTCTTTTGAGCAGAGCCCAAGTGTTCTCAATAGGATTGAGATCTGGTGAGTTGGGTGGCCAAGGCAATTTTTGATAACCACAGTCTGACTGCAATTTTCTGTTTTCCTCACCACCATGCCAGGAGGCATTGTCTGCTGCTAGGTAGATATTGTCAGAAGGTCTATCCAGACCTTCTATAAAAGGGATGAGGTATGGCTGGTGGATTTCAGTTGCATATTGGTGGAAATTGAGGCCAAGTCTGTCTCTTTTGCTGGTCCTTTCTTCCTCCCCCCTCTTCCTCACAAGAATTAACTCAGTCCTGCCACCCTTCATGATTGCAGCATAGACCCCAATACTAGTCCTCCCAGACTTAAAGCTAGGCTTCAAGTTTTTTTCTTCCTGCTCTTCACCAGGTCTAACTCTGACCCTCCTGCCAGTAGGATTTGGATCATAGATAATAGTGGCTTCATCCACAAAAACAACCCAATTCCATGCACTCCTCCAATTCCTCCTTCTCCTAGCAAACTCCCTTCTCTTCTCCTTCTGTCCTTTCCTGCAAAAAGGTTTTTTTCTAGGTATTAGAAGCTTAAAACCAGCTTATGAGATGATCTTATCCACAGATGTCTTTCCCAGACCAATATTTGCTTTTTTGGTAATGTCGCATAATGCTAAATAAGGCTCGGCATCGATAATGGACTCCACTATCTTTCTTTTTTGAGGAGTAATTGTTGTTGGTCTTCCAGATCTGGAGGCATCATGGGTATTTCCATCTCTTGATTCAGCTCTTTTGACTACTGATTGTAACCGGTACGGGTACTCGGTTATTGGTTTTGTTTTATGTTTTGTTTTAAGTATCACTTTGATACTTGGTTTGTTTTAAGTATCGTTTGATACTTGGTTTTGTTTTATGTTTTGTTTTAAGTATCACTTTGATACTTGGTTTGTTTTAAGTATCGTTTGATACTTGGTTTTGTTTTATGTTTTGTTTTAAGTATCACTTTGATACTTGGTTTGTTTTAAGTATCGTTTGATACTTGGTTTTGTTTTATGTTTTGTTTTAAGTATCGTTTTGATACTTAAGGAGTTTTACCAAAGAGTATCAATTGATACCTTTGATTAGTTTCGTTCATGCTAAACATGAACAGATTTGTGTATTTAAAGACCGCCTGTTTCTACGATAGAAAAGGCAGACTTCGACAGACAGTATTTCAATATACTTGGTTGAACGGTTACTTCTTTGTTCCTCAGTACACCCTCGAAGCCTCCTTTAGTTCTCAGCTCTCGCCTCCTCTATGGAAGAGCAGGCCACCTGCCAACTATCGTATCTATTACCGATAACGTGAATAGTACCTTGCGAACACGTTACACTGATTGAACAGTTACCTTAGAGATACCCATAACCTTAGAAATTTTATTATACCCCATATCAGTATGTTTATACAGGGTATAAATTTCCTTATTTTGGTCTTCTCTAGCTCTTCGGATATGTGGGGAGGTCATGGTAGAGGTGGTTGTTGTGGGAATAGAGGACAACACTGTTGCCGTGCCGGGGTATGAAGACTTTACTGATACGACTGTACTCGAGTACAGATAGCACAGTTGATTTATACTTGTACTTGTACCGTAAAAACTCGAATAGAAGAAAAATGTACTAAAGGGTTGAATTAAGCTCAGCTGCTAAAAAAAGGGGCCTTGATCCAGGGGTTCAACCTCATCTCATCTCTGAGAGTCATAATAATGTAAGTAGAATACGAGTATATAAATAATAGTAAACATAGAATTTAGAGTCATTAGAAATAGAAATAAATAATAATATAAGCAAAGAGAATACTATGCTACTCATACACTCTAAGGAGAGAGAAATACAATACATGATATTCGCAATACTTATATACCAAATGGCACTATGAGGAAACCGAAGTGAAGGCACCACTCGTACTAGGATTACAGTTAGTCTTCCAGAACTACCAGCAGGCAAGTTCTATGTCGGAGGGTAAAAAAAGCGGGAACCAAAGCGAAACCTACTCAAAATTAGCCTACAAGCAACCCCAAATGTCATTGGGAATCCTCAGAAGTCTTATACAATCAACTATAAGCTTCAGGTACTCTCTTGGCTTCATAGAGTCTCAATACCTTCAGGACTGAGTAAGTTTTGTGAGCTGACATTGCAAGAGGCGGCTACAAGATTCAGGATTCCACTAGGAAATCTGGGGAGATGACATAAGGAGGAGAGAGAGGGGAAATACCCAGAAGCAGCAGCCATGTCATGTAGACTAGTAGGAGGTGGAAGGGGGCTGAAGTGGGTAGATATAGAGAGAAAGCTCTACGAGTGTTTTTGCCAATGCTGAGCAGAAGGAAAAGTTGTTCGCCAAAGTTGGTTTTGACAAAACACGAAATAGCTTTATGCTGAAATCTAGGGAAGTACAAGTATTAGCCAATTTCGATTTTCAAATAGTTTGTTTTGGGGTTTCTTATCGTGGTACAAAATCTCTCTTTATGCAATCACCAACCTAACCAGTCAGCTTCCTAGAGACTATATTGAAGTATTAGTAAATTAGATGAGATTTAATCGAAGAAACTCACAATTAAGATGTGAAAATTCATCAGCAACTGATGTGACAGCAGAGGTTGGTCGTTACAGATTAAGTAACAACTGTAACATAGATCAAACTCTACTGCCATTTGAGTACCTAAGTGGGCGTACTTGTAATCAGCAAGGTGAGAAGATAATTTGGGTTCAAGCCAGTCAGCAGTCAGGATGGGATAAAAGGTAGGCAACAATTCAACTCACCATCTTTTTCCAATGCAATACCTTGAGTCAAGCCCCTCATCTATTTCTGGGGGCAAGGAGTAGGAGCAACCATTATTGCTGAAAAGCAACAGTATAACACCCCGGTTGTTGTAAAATTCAACCTGAAGGCCTATACCAATTCATCCAATTTGGTTGAATGGCAAGACAAGCAGGTTATACCTTTGTTCAGCAACCGGCTAACACTAATTGCCTTGAATATATTCAGTACTCACAAAACCGATAAGGTTTGGGATACTATACATGTGCATGATATCACAGTTAGTATGATACCAGGGGGCTGCACTGGCCTTGTGTAGCCCCTCGATATATCTATTAACCGACCCTTTAAAGATATTCTTAAGGTTAGTACAACTAAAACTCAACTACCAAAGAGGAAGGGAGAACTTATCGAACTTGCAGCTAGCTTTACTTATTTGATAGGAAGTACTCGAGGAAATAGTTGATTCAGCAGAAATGGAGGAGGAGAGAATATAGTCAGGTAGGGAATGGCTTATGGGAAGCATAGTAGGAAGGAGGTAGGTGCTCTGCACATGGGCAGTTGGAGAGGTCTGAGAAAGGTTTTCCCTCAACTATGCTCATGTGGTTGAGAGAGCCTTTACCGCTGTTGGCCTCTCTCTTCTGATTGATGGAAGTCGAGATTTCAAAATCTCAATCAAGGGTCTTGAGACATCCTTGTTTGTTGATGGGGTCAAGGGATGGGAACAGGGGCAGCTGTTGGCAGTGAGGTTGTTGTAGAGGATCATAATAGGTTAGGAGATCAGGATGAAGAGTTGGAGTTGAATATTGCTCAAGATGAGCTTGATGGGGAATATATTATCAGTAAAATTGATTAAAAAGGAAATATATTTTTAGATTTTATATGTCTTATGTTTCGTAATTTGTATTGACATGACCATCCAGGCCTCTTGGTATAACTCACTTTAAACAGACTTCAAAGCACATTTTTCTTCTATTCAAGTTTTTACGGGACTTGTACAGTCGTGTCCGGAAAGTTTTTGTACCCCTGAGGTGCAACCCCATAATACCTCATCACCACAACAACCCTCCTCACCATGGCCTCTCCACATAACCTAAGAGCAAGAGAAGACCTGAATAAGGAAATTTATACTCTGTATAAACATACAGATATGGGATATGACAAAATTTCTAAGTCTTTAGGTGTATCCAAGTTAACTGTTCAGTCTGTGGTTAAAAGAGCTAAATCTATGGGTGGAAACACTCACAATGCAAAAAGAGGTGAAGGACCAACCAAGATTACTGATATAAAAAGAAAGATAGTGGAGTCAGTTATCGATGCCGAGCCTCATTTAGTGTTACGTGATATTACCAAAAAAGCGAATATTGGTCTTGGTAAAACCACTATTAATAAGGTCATATCAGAAGCTGGTTTTAAGCTTCTGATACCTAGGAAAAAGCCTTTTTGGAGAAAAGGACAAAAGGAGAAAAGAAGGGAGTTTGCTAGGAGAAGGAGGAACTGGAAAGGAGCATGGAATTGGGTTGTTTTTGTGGATGAAGCTACCATTGTTTATGATCCAAATCTAACAGGCAGAAAGGTAGGAGTTAGACCTGGTGAAGAGCTGGAAGAAAAAAACTTAAAGCCTAGCTTTAAGTCTGAAAGGACTAGCATTGGAGTATATGCTGCAATGATGAAGGGAGGAAAGACTGAGTTAATTCTTGTGAGAAAGAGAAGGGAGGAGGAAAGGACCAGTAAAAGAGACAGACTTAGTCTAAACTCTCACCAATATGCAACTGAGATCCACCAGCCTTACCTTATCCCTTTTATAGAGGGTCTGGATAGACCTTCTGACAATATCTACCTTGCTGCAGACAATGCTTCCTGGCATGGTGGTGAGGAAAATTGAAAATTTGAAGCAGACTGTGGTTACAAAAAACTCCCTTGGCTACCTAACTCACCAGATCTCAATCCTATTGAGAACACATAGGCACTACTCAAAAGAGCCCTTACCAAGCGATTCTCCAGACTGGAAAGAAGGCCTCATAGTGCAGCTGAATTGTTTGAGGCAGCAAAGGAAGAGTAGGATTTAATTCCCCAAGAGAAGTTGGATGGATGGATAGATAGGATGCCTGAGAGAATGTAAGCTGTACTGGATGCAAATGGAGGCCATACAAAATGGTAATAATGTTTTTTTATTGTCTACTAGCAATACTATCATGTTTTCTTTAATTGAATTCTTTGAAATTTTATGGTTGGGGGTTGTGGTTGTGCGGTTGCCATGCGAGGGTACGAAAACTTTCCGGACAAGACTGTATCATGTCCCAAATGTTCCTTCCCTCTGAACCGCCCTTGTGTAACGTATGTACGAGTACACGTACTCTACAGGCGCTTGTGGCACTGTCGGTATCGGTATGAAGGATAAAATGTTAGGAGTGCCAGGCAAAAATGTAGCCCCACGCGGGGGTCGAACCCGCAACCTTGAGATTAAGAGTCTCACGCTCTACCGATTGAGCTAGCGAGGCAGCTGTATGAACATGGCTCACAGGTTTGACACTTCTGTCGTTTGTTCGCATTTTCGGAGTTGAGCCAGGACCGCCGGACCTCACTCAATTCACGGAAAAGCCTACCGAGGAAGATACTATATAAACCACCCCGGGCAGCACCTCACTCCCCAAGGGAACCCCACCTACCCTTCTCTCCATTTCTTTCCCGCCGGGTTCCACTCACTCTCCCCTCCATAATTCTTCCCGTCGTTGAACACCTTCCCCATACCCTATTACCTAATTACTAGGTCACGTGATGTGACTTCTTTTTTTTTCTCCATTGCGCGGAGCGCACACAAAGTCACACCGTCCGCAATACTAGCGCAAACAACAAACCGAAAGCTACACAACGCCACTGACACCGACAACAACCCCGTCCCCATTACCAACCGACCAGCAGCAATAATCGGTAAAAAATGAAGGTGTGTTATAAGTCATTCCTGAGCATGGATTTCCGCGAGCCGTCCTTTGTTCCTTTGTCTGTTTTTTGAATGAAAAGGTGGGAGGAGGTCGATCGTGAAGGAAGGAAGGAAGGCAGGAAGGAAGATGGAATTTTTTTCGGCGGGGAGTGAGTGGAAGGGGAAACGCTGACCTATTTTTTTTTTTTCCTTTTCCTCGCGGCTAGGTCGAACTTGATTCATTCAGTGGAGCCAAAATTTTCCCCAGCAAGGGGAAGCTATATGTTCGCGGCGATAGCAAAGTTTTCCGCTTCGTCAATGGCAAATCCGAGTCGTTGTTCCTTCAACGCAAGAACCCGCGCAGAATCGCCTGGACCGTTCTCTTCAGACGTATGCACAAGAAGGGTATCTCTGAGGTACGCTTTTTCAAATTCCATATGTACTCTACGGGTTCTATATAGGGGCTAAGTTTGATATTTTGGGGGGGGATTTGTAGGAAGTCGCCAAGAAGAGGTCTCGTAAGACCGTGAAGCACCAACGTGCTATTGTCGGCGCTTCTCTCGATGTCATTAAGGAACGCCGTTCTATGCGCCCCGAGGCCCGCCAGGCTGCCCGCGCTCAGGCTATCAAGGAAGGGAAGGAAAAGAAGGCAGCGGCCGAGTCTAAGAAGAAGGCGGAGAAGGCAAAGTCTGCTGCGGGAGCTGCTCGTGGAGGCGCACAGAAGGTATCCAAACAAGGTGCTAAAGGGGCTGCTCCCAAGGTCCAGGCTAGGACCCGTTAAATCCAAATAAATCTATTGCGCTTTTTCGGTTTAGGGTTTTCTTTGCACTTCCTTTGTTGGTATGATAGTTGGTGTGGCACTTCTTTCTTCTTGCCAAAAACGGTATTTGTTCTTTGACGTTGGGAGCACAAATGGACGGTGGAACTCTGATATATTAGAGGTCATTCGGGCGCCCGCATTTTTCATGACTTAGCCCTCTAGCTGTTACGGCCGGTGTGACCACTTTATAAATATGGGACGCCTGCTTGCGTCGACGGGAAACAGCTCTCGATGTGTGCAGACTAGTGTTCATAAAAACTCTTCGCAACTGCCCTAGGAGATCCTGCGCTTTTCAAGCCTTCTATTACAAAAACGAGCAATTACAAAACCGCTTCCTACACGTGTAATGCCGAACAAACCAGGGAACAACGTCAATAACAGACAGCATAACCCCACTGCCTAAACAACTTATTTGCCTTCATAGTAGTGCGCCTATTAAAATTAGTCTTAAAAGATACAAAGACAAAATCAGGGCAAGAGCGACCTCTCCGGTAACGACATACCATCTGGACCCCCGCGAGCTTGAAACCACATTTCTCATAGAAACCCTGATTTTTTTCTGAGCAATCAAGGATAGATTTGTAACAGCCAACCTGTTGAGCAATAGCATCTAATGCTTGAATAATTCTCAACCCGAGCTTCTTCCCTTGCTGGTCAGCCGCAACGGCAATGTCTTCAATATGGCCTACAGCAGCACAATTCCTAATACTATTCATCCCACGTCCGTTAGCAAAAGTCTGCATATGCGAACGAAATAGAACTGGTAGAATGAGAGGGGACAATAACAATTTCTTCTCGATAATTAAGCTTCCTACGGCAACGACCTTTCCCAGTTCATTCTCTATAACGACGATGAAATACTCATCGTTTCTAGCTGCCATCCAGTCGTAGCGAGCTGACCATGTCTCGAGGGATATATCGCCGACCTTTGTGAGAACCGTCAGGACAGAGAGGAATTCTGCATGATCGGACTTTTGAAGTGGACGGAGATTGTAGCCTTTTGGTAGTTCTGACGTTACGGATGGAGAGATGAGATCCTTGGAGAAAAGAGGTGTTGCCATTGCTTTTTTAAGAGAGGTATATAGAATGGGAAATTTGTTTGGTCTTGTCTTTTTTTTCCCTTTTGTACAGCAAGTGTGATGGAGATGAGTAGGAGAAGCGGAAGATGGAGATCGGAGGTACTCGAGTACGGTACTTGAGCATTCGAGCTGAGAAAGCTGACAGGGGTTAATGTGGGGTTGACGCGGGATGTTGTGAGCCAAGAGCCTAGCATATTGAGGATCTCGCTTTAATGCCCGAGACGTTACGGGTGGAAGGTCCCAGGGCCACCACGGATAGATATCTCGTATTATGGTTGGGAAGGAGAAGATCGTATGGAGAGCGCAATTTACTATTTAAAAATTATAATTCACGTTCACACTATCCAAGCACTCGTACTATCCTCCTGTACAGATGCTTACTTGAGGGGTTCATACAGTCAACCTGTAGTACTCTAGAAATTTCAGGAGAATATGTCAAATCGCTGTATAAGTAAACTTATAATTATGCAAAAACATACGGTATTATCCCAGTATCCATGGCTTTGAGAATCCCAGAAATAAGATATCAAGTTTATTTCTTACTTAACCTACGAAATAGCTTATTACCGCCATATTATTCCATATCAGAGGAACAATTCCTCATACCATTATCATACTATCAGTATATATCAATCAATGGGAAAAAAAAAACCATCTCCATGGCTGGAATATCCCACCAGCCACTTTGCGAACTACAGACTAAAAAGTCAAAAGCTGCTCAAGATATCTGGACATCCGGTCTGTCCCCACTTCTCTTCCTCACATCCCCCCGGCCACTTAGCTGCTCCCGCGTCAATGGATGTCAGGAATCCTGAAACTGTCTCTCGCATACATATTATTCTCCTATGAAGTAATTACGGTTAATCGTCCAGCCGTGCGAGTGAAATCGCTAAGATCCTAATCAAGAAATAGTAGCACGGTAGCGGCCGCAAACTCAGAAAAGAGTTGTTCACTTTCGTACATGATCACAATCCAATACCATTCCTCCCAACTCATTCTGCGTCTGACGGTATAAGAAAGGTCTGACGGGGAAGAGTGTGATTTGCATACCGGTAGGTGGTTGTAGCACAAGTTTCATAACAAAGTTTCCAGTAGTGGAGACGCTGTAGGCTAGACGGGACGTTCGCCTAAGGTTGGAAGATGCGAAAGGTTGGTTTCCATTATCCTTAACGCACCCGGTTCTGTACAGGTTCACGTCCTATGACCGCAGACCAAGCCAACAATCACTGCGCCCGGAGTAAGCACATGTTCGGTAGCGACTTCAAGAACTCGGAAAAGGAGAGATGAGAAGGTAGATCAAAGATGGTCTTGTTGTTACCCGGGAGGACGCTGGTAGATAAGGCTCCGCGCGTACCTGGTGAGGGAGGGATTCGTTCTTTTCTTGTTCCGCGTACCCGGAAACTGAATCAACATAGACACATTCTTCTCAACCGCTCTGTTTGTAATATGCTCGCGAGTAAGTAATAGGCTGTTTTTTTTAAAAAAAAATTCACATGCTGTCAAAGGTTCAGAAGGGAGGGTGGCTGCCTCGGAAAGATTCATCTGTTCTTTGTTTCCATGGCTGAACGGATCCTTTGTTTTGGTATAAACTTCCAAATAAAAGGCGCATCGACGAAATAACAGTTGCGACGAGAGTCGGAAAGATAAGAGCTGATCGCGGCTTTTAAAAGTTTATAACCTACCTGAATATCAGGAGATAGTCACGCTCCTGTTTGCAATCTACGGTATTGAGTTCCAGCAGCAGAGGATGTTTACGGGTTATCAGTACTCGGTAGACGAAAGTTAGACCCTACGAGAGGAGTCATTGATCCCCAAAGCACACTTGGGAAATCAATATCTTTTTCTTTTTCTTCCCCGCCCAGCCGTGTGTTTAATTTAAGAATTTGAGTAATTTGTTATGTGGTATCATAGATTTTAAATTTACTACCAGTTTCATAATATTATATTAGCTACTTACCTTGAGCAAACCCTTTAGAATTGTTTTGTTTGAGTGTCTTTTTTTTTCTTTTTCTTTTTTTCTTTTAACTTTTGACAATACAGTAATACTGAGAATAAGAATAAATCTTACATTTGTTATACAAATTACATGTATTGGAGAGTAGAATGAGGTGCAGAATGACAACTTTTCTTCAAAAACAACTACTTTATCTAATCTGTTACACTATCTGACATTCCTCTTTTGGGAAAAATTAAAACTAAAAATATAGTACATTGTCCTCCTGACCACCCACCCATTTAAGTCAGCCTTTTTCCCTTCCCTTTCCAACAACACACACTTCTAGAACCTACCACACACATTTAGGAAGACCAATCTTCCACACCCACCTTGCTTGCACTTTTTTCTTCCACTTCTCAACTTCACTAACTTCCAATTCATCACCCCCACTTCACAACCTATTCCTCCATCCATCTTCCTACCTCCAGTTTCCACTGGTACCACTCTTACCCCTTTCCACCTCCTGAATTTTAATTTTTTTTTTTCCAGCCTTTTACATTTCACCTTCCAACCAAGACCCAAGCTGTGTAACCGACAACTGTTACGACTACCGTAGCTTACTTATCAATCATGTCGACTACTTTTGAAACCCTTACGGAAAGGGAACACGAACGTGATTTTTTCTCCGACGACTCTTATCCCGAGGACACTCCGGATACAACTCCTAATTATAACCCTGGCGAAATTCTTAACGAAGCAGATTGGCAGAGGAGAAGTATCAGTGATCTTTGTCGTAAGTTATCATACCCTTCTTGTTTTAGTTCACTTTCGTACTAATATTACTTCTTTTAGGTTTGATTGGAACCAATTACCTTGACATCAATCCAAGTTACCAACGTGATGTTGTCTGGACTAACGAACGTATGAGTAAGCTCATCCAATCGGTATTGGGTATGCGATTACCTCCCAAAATAAATGCGTGGATATCCAATATTCCACCGAATAAATACATTTATTTAAGATATTTACTGAACTCGTCTGTCGCAGCAAACTTTTACATTCCACCAGTAATTTTCAACGTTATCAAGTTTACAGAAAATGGAGAAGAGAGATACCGCCGTGTTTGTATCGATGGTAAACAACGACTTACATCCATTAAGCGTTTCGTTGACGGTGGAATCCCAGTTTTCGATCACAAGGGCCAAAAGTGGTAAGTCTTCGTACTTACAACTGAATTCTCCTCTTACATATATGCCGATCCAACCAGTACTAATCATTATCTCGGCTGATAGGTTTTATGTTGATAATGGTTCTGCAAAAACTCAAAAGAAAGTCTTGCCTTCTGGAATTAAAACTCGCTTTCTTCAAACCGATATACTCTGTGTAGAGTACGATTCGCTCGGTCCGGAGCAAGAGGAGGACCTCTTTTCTAGGGTTCAATTAGGCGTTCCTCTAACACCGGCAGAAAAGCTTAAGGCTAGTACCGGTGAATGGCAAGCATTTGCTTCGGAAATTGAGCTCACTTATGAGAACCTTATGCAATGTACGAGTCTTTACCAATCTATTGAAGATACCAGTACTAATACCGCTAATATAGGTGCCGACAACAAGCGTGCTCGGAGTTTCCAACTCATTCTTCAGATATTTAAGCAGATGACTTACTACGAGGAAGGAAAAGCAACCACGTTTAATTCTGGTCCCAGCGCATTGAGGAAGTTCTGCGAGAACACATCCCTTTTAACATCTGAATTCAGATCAGATGTTAAGCGCGTATTTGACACATATGCCGAGATTTATGAACAGTATCCGGATACTTTTAAGAATCATAGCTACAAGGTCGCTGCCAAATATTCTCCTATTGAGTTTGTTGCAATGGCTCTTTTAATCTACATCCATCCTGAGAGACAGAGCATACGTCTCTTGCAAGGTGATATTCTCGAATTGAGATCGTTCGTTAGAGAATCACGTCAAGACTTGCGTAGTAATAGCGCTACTTGGGTTGTGTTCATGGATTGGATCAGCAATATTGGCCGTTATCGTGGAGGACTCGATACAGTACGAGTTGGGCGTCCAGTTACGAGTTCGGTTGCTGGTCCGGTTACCACCTCAACTGGCAATCGGGCTGCAGGTCAAGTTTCACGTCGGCTTATAGAGCTTGTTGCAGAGCCTATCTCTGCTCCTGTGGCTGATATGAGTAATACCATTGTGGTTCAACCGAGGAACGCCACAAATCCGACTACTTCGATGAGATCTCTCCCCGTAGTTCCTCATATTGGTAACCTTGGGCCCGGTGAGGCATCCTCCTCCTCTTCCGGAGCAAAGGGCCTCCCCCCCCGTCCGTTGAGGTCACAGATGCCATTTCCTCCCGCTACCACCTCCGCGGATCGAAGACAGGGTCGCGCTGAGGCGGGCGTTTCTGGGCCGAGAAAACGTATTCGTGGCGAGGATGATGGCAGCGGTGCGCGCCGCATCAAGGTGGAAAAGTTTAAGGAGCCTGAGCGTGTCGGACCCTTCACTAACAGTTAGTTTCCTTTACTCAATTTCTTTCTTTCATAGTTCCGCATGATTCCTGTCCCTGTGTCATAAAAATGAAATCGTTGATTTCATCGCTGCTTCTTCATTGCCGCAGATTGCTTTCATGTTTCCCAGACTGTACTTGTATTATAAAGATGAAATCGTTGATTTTATCTTTGCTTTTTTGTTGCTGCAGATTGCTTTCATGTTTTCTGGATTTGCTTGGTAGTTGCTGGCGCAGTGGTTTCTTGGGCGGCTGTTGTGTACGTTATCCGGTGCAAAATGGTGATAACGATACAAATGAGATAGTTAGTAACAATTTTACAGACAATAGAAAATGATACATTGAGAATAATTAAATTTAAACTAATTAGAAGTTCCCTAATTTTTGTGCTTATTTGTGTCCACAATCGCCTTAGTGAGATTTAAAATAGCTGGAGGAGTTGTTTTTCTTCTTCTATTGACCAGTTAAGATTCTTAAGATGTTGAAAATCGAAACCATGCCTATATGCTTCCTGTAGTATAGAAAATACACACCGATTAGGGCCTTTTTGGACTCTCAATACCTCTTATACTAACAAAAGGTATACACAGCGTATCTATCTGGCGTGTCGGCCGGTTCGATAGTATGTTGAATTCGGGTGGGTGTGAGAACCTAGCTCACAGAGAGTCGTGTATAAATAATGCTCCCATGTCCACACAGAGTCTGAGGTCTCCTATTAGGAACCGAGCTCGAACAAGCTTCTACTCTATAAACAACTACAACTATTCAGATAGCTCCGTGCATTAAGGGAGCATGCCTATTTATATGTGTTGGGTAGATCTTCCTTGCACCGCTATCCACGCAGGTTCCGACTTTCCCTCCCAGCCACTATCAGACAAAGGTATAGAGGTAGGAAATAAGAGAAATTAGGAGAGCAAAGAGGACAATAAGGATTCAGGGTGGGTGAGCGAGAGTTGTCAGAACGTCAACCAGTCCTAGCTAGATTGGGACTTTAGGAGTAAAATGACCCAGAGACTCGGACAAAGCATTTGAGCGCATAAAGATAGTTCTATTAGAATACTACCACTTCCTTGTTCCGCGGTTCGGGGGAGAGAGGTTTTACCCCGGTCCTGATCCGGACTCTGATGACAATATACTGCACTGTTTCTTTCTCTCCTGTTGGAAATTCTTCTCACGCTTTTTGCTAGACAGGTTGACACTATCTTAACTTGTTCCTTTCCCCCATACCCATTTCCCACTTCCTTTTGCTCTTCTCTTTCATACTATCCACCACCTCACCCGGCGTGTACAAATACTGTCATATTCACCTCTGCTACGTGAACAAAAAAGCACCAGCCCATTTATCCTGCAGCCTTTTCTGCTCCCCCTGGTGGGCGCGAATATTTCTTGACCCTCTCAAAAAAAACCCTATTAACAGTCTCTCCCACCTATTCTCTCCTCCCGGCCAGAGACCCGCGTAGACCGATAGATGTTATCGTTCCCTCGTTCCCCTTGTCTAAGCCACACCCTCCTTGTTGTTTCTTTATTGATCTTCCTTTGATGTGTCCGAACCACCCGCTCAAATTTGAGTGATAGTAAGCTTAGGGGAGTCCGGAAACACGTTTGTAGATAGTGACCTGTTCCCCTTCCGATTGTTTACGCTCGCGAAGCCCTGTCGCTACCAAATTGATCTGTCTCAGTGCATCTAGGGCCGGGTATTGAATTGAAACAAGGGGTATTAGAGACAAAGAACCGAGTGATTTGGTGTGATTTTTGTATAAAAAAAAATTTAGTATCTACCACGTACACTTGAGACAAGTTTATTTTTCTGTAGTATGCTTTGCTTAGGTAGTGCAAGTGGAACAGCGGAGGTCTAGAATGCGCTGGGAGAACAGGCAGGTTACTTACTTTCCCCTACGTGCTCCTGATGGCGGATTGGTTGCCGGTTTAATTGACTATCTGATACTTCTGAAAACTCTGTACGGTAGGGTTTTCAAAGTCAGAAAGCAACGAGCAAATCTAGGAAGTTGAATTAGGTTATTTTATGGAATTTGTCAATGTTATCAGATACTGATATTTTTTTTCATCTTTTCAATTACATCATTGAATACATACGATAATTGAAAAGAAACAAAAATATAGCATAAATCCTATTTTTTTTTTTTTTTAATAGAGGGTCAAAGATGAGAAATTTTTACTGGAAAAGGTTGATAATTATTTCTAAGGTTGGTATGATAATAATATTTTAAGACATTCAACTTTATATCATCAATAGTGAGATATTATAGGTGAATCATACTTAAGTGCAAATTATGTTATTACTGATGTTAACAAAAAAGAAAACACTGTAAAATCTACTTTATAGGAATTCACTCATTATAAGTGAGATTTATATGAGACTCATAGGGGACTTTTTTACATAATAATAATATCATGCTGATATGACTTGAAATTCTTACCTGAATCTTATTATAGGATAAGGCCTATCTAAATACAAGTATTATTCAATTAAATTTGTAAATAATAAAGTATAATTCAGCCTTATTTCAAAATTGACTATATGGATATCTGTTAGTATAATATTTTCTGTAAATTTAATTAGCTTATAAGCTGTAATTAAGTAGTTTTTCTTTCTATATATACTCTTACTTAACTATAATTATTATAAGAGAATCTTTTGACTTTCTGTTAATACTTTGATGTTCTATAATAATTAAATCCAATATCAAAGATGCTTACAGAAAAGTTTTTTTTTCTACTATTTCTAAAAGGCTTAGGTATATTTAAAATCACCACTTACTTTAGTGTTAGGCAGAGACAACCTGATAGACTTCAGAGTTGTCTAGGCCAATCAAGATTCATTTCTGTAGATGGAGATTGTCTAGAAAGGCTCAGATTGTACTCGTTTTGTTTATGACTACAAAGAGTGAAGTAAAGTAGATAAAGTAGGATAGAATCTTGAAGACAATATTATATTGTTAAGGTCTCTTCTCTATTGCTTGATGATATCTAAAAGATTCAGGAGGGACTTCGATATTTATATTCCACGTCTGAGTATTCATGGACTACATCTATCCATTATACAACTATTTATTTCTCTGATTATAACTCATAATTTCGGGTATTCTTCAAAGGTGCAAATACCTAAAGACTCTGAAAATCACCACACCCTCTTCTGTAATTACAATAATGCTAACTAGGAATTGTACTGTTCTAAATAGTAATTATCCAATCAGCAGTCTTTTTAGACTTATGGCCTAGTTCTCAAGTTGAACTGAGTTGGCCCCAATTGTCTCCATCTATGATCAAATAATCAGTTTTATCTGCAGGTTGTATCTGCGGAAGTAGTTGTAATTGCAACATTCTTTGGTCACCTGACTTCAAATCTCCATAACTCTACATCCAACCTATGGATATCTTTCTAAGCACTTCTTACTAATTTGCAGGAAGCTATTCTACTAGATTGACAAATAATCCCTTGGTCGGTAATCCTGAGTTGCTTTAGATAACAGGGTTTCAATCGCCATGCAGGTATTGGGAATGATTCTATAATCTCAGCACATTTCTGGATCCAGTTTGAATACTTCATGAAGTTCATTGGCTTCTGTAGTAGTGTTCCTTAGAGTTTTAGACTCTTCTGGTTATTGTAGGATGGGTACAAATGTATTGATTTCTCATTGAGATTTTTTACTATTTGATACCATATTTTAGTATAAAACCGTTCTACCACTTATGGCCTATGCCAAAGATATCACCTCTTTGAACCCTAGTAACCTTCTAAGCAGTTGATAGATTTACTCCGTCCTACTTCCTAAACCTAGTAGAGGGTCCCCTCCCATATATCCTGCAAACAGGATATGGTCGGATGGACGGCAGCGACATATCTGATGTTATTATTACACCTTCATTTTCTGTGTTATTATAGTCACAGGACACAACTGAAATTAATAAGTATGATAATGTGCGGGATGCATAAGGGGGCTGGAGGGGTGTGTTAGAGACTAGAGATTCCGATTCTGATTAGTGTTACTCAACTTAGGGTGGTTCCTAGGTATTGGATTCTGGTATTCCTAACATTTAGAGCCCAGTTGGCATACCAAGATTTGGACTTAAAATCCGGATTATCTCCTAAGTCTGGACTTTTAGTCTAATCCTGGTTGGTAGGTGTGAAGTTGGATTAGATTATCATACAGGGCAAACCCAAAGAGTCATTCAAGTTAGCCCTAAATAGTTTCTAAAAATGTTATTATTAGTAATGTCACATGTTTCTACAAAGTAATATACTAGAGTTCTATTGGGAGAGGTAGAAGACAGCTAGCTTTCCTCTCAGTCTCCAACCCTGTACACCTCTGAGTTCTTGTATTTCTTTCCTTTCAACAGGAAATGATAGCTGTGGTTGGCCATTACCATATGGTACATTGAGATCGACATCTTTTGTCTCTGGAAGCAGCTTCATTACACCTCTCTGAGTTTGTCCTCTCTTAGCAGCAATCTTGTAATTCTAATAATATAAAAATATAGTATACTGAAAGTTTTATATTAGGACACACATAGTGCCAGCCTGGATCCTATCTTTATTGCCTTACATTAGATATTTAAATATTCTATAGTCCTAATCTAAATCCTGGCATGGTTGACATAGCTGATTAATAAAGTCTAGATTTTTAAGGATTGAGACTTTGGTTTTTAAGTTCGGACTTTAAGTCCAAATCCTAGTCTAATCCTGGCATGCTAGCTGGACCCTTAGATATTAGGATAAACTAGAATTTTAGGAAATAATAAAATAGAACTTGTATAAATATAACCAAATTTACAAAAGAATTATAGTAAAGAAATTTTGTATGATATTAGAGCCAGTTTATCTAACCATCATAGTGTGAAATTTGGGTGATAAATCAAGACAGTTACAATAATTGTAAGATTCAATTTCAGGAGATTCATATATTACTTACAAGTTATATTAAAAATGTTCATAAAAAATAGGCTAATTACCAATGATAATAGGCTCATATGAGATGAACTCTAAGAAAATAATTATTTGTAATATAAGAAATATATAAATTTAAAAGCTTTTAGAAAATCATAGACTTACAAGTAAACAGATATAACCTCAGTCTTATTATAGAAATAATCTACCAAACTATTCTAGATTTATATAAGACTCATCAAAGGCTTATATGGAATTAATGAATTTCTATAAAGTAACTCTTGTTATACTATAACTTTATTTTTGTACAAGTATGGGATTTTAATAAAAAAGGATAGAATACCTTAAACTGATATACTTACAGGAAAGATACCAAATGAAAAAATATAAAGAATAAAAATATGGAGTATTAAAATTCCATGGATATTTTTGTGCCCGCCAAGAACCACACAAAAACTCTAGCCTAATACAGACAAAAAAAGCCTAGAATAAGTGAGGGGTACTCAGTTCTTCTGTCATGCCAAGCTGGCCGTCAATATTTGGATCACCCCTGGTCACTCGATGTCATGGCTGAATCATATTTACCCCTGCAACCGAGATAAGACTCCGATCTCCGATTGTGGATTGACTTCGGTACCTCACTGCACGGTACTTACTAGTCTTGGCACATCCATGTGACTTGTGCTTGTGATACATCCCCCGAACTTCTCAGACTTGATCGCACATATGGTACGACTTGAACACGACAAATACGGTACCGGTACCACACGAGGACGGTATTCCGCCGGGAAAGGGAGCCTTGGAGCGGGAGGGCGCAGGAACAAGTTATAAAATGAAAAGGAAAAAGGCTACGATATGAGCAAAAGCCAACAAGTGGGTAACTTACGGTAAAAGCCAGGAATAATGGAGAGGACGTCCGGAAGTTCCCCCCTCTGGATTGAGGGAGGGAAAAATGACAGCGTGAGAAAGATCATCTTTCAGCCCTCAAATGAGACAAATAAAAAAGAAACATACAACACGCCTTTTACTAGGAGAGGCAACTCCAACGTCCCAGAGAGATTCTCAAATTATCACTGTTTTTTTTACGGGGAGGGCTAAACGGAAGGTTGGAAAGTTGGGAGAAGGCAACCACCGGTGCCCTGCGGCTGGCTGGCTGGCTGGCTGGCTGGCTGGCTGGCTTCCTACTGACGGTACGGTACATTTTTCCACCCGCGAATGGTGCCGCTGCAGTCATACGTACAGCGCACGATACGAGATGAAATATCCTCATCGTGCCTGGACGAGCGCTGTGCTTGAGTAACATATGATTAATACCAAGGCTCGAGGGCAGTTGAATTAGAACCATAACACAGCCACTGCTGCTCTGAACCACCAGTTCAATCTAATATCTTATCATTACTGTATTGCTTTTTCCTTCCTTTCCTTCCTTTGGTTCCCCACTGCCCCCACTCTTACCCACACATTCACTTCTTACTCACTCGAAAAATCTTTTCTTTTTTGCACAAGGTTTCACACCTGGCCAATCCATTCCTTGGCGCCTCTCTCGGGTACCGTACTCGAGTACCGGGATGCAAAAAATCTGCAATCCTCATGCACCTGAGGTGGCGAGGTTAGGCAGCCCCCACGCATACTCCCCCCCCTCACCTCCACCACGCCTTGAACGCAATACTCGAATACACCACTGAAATAGTTGTTAATCCAAAGTGTCGAGACGACAACCTAATCTACATTCTATCTTACAGGACCAAGACCGCTAAAGGCCCAGAGATAGGTTAACGGCGAGAGGAAATACCGGTACTGGTATTGGGAGGTAGGAGGAAAATAAGCTTTTTCACTCTTCAGATACGTTTCAACTACCGGTACCATGCGATATTGACGAGGTAGTGTAATATCGCACACAACAAAACACCCCGGTCCGAGTCATGCCCGTGATGGGAAACAGATACCGGTCTGTTGTAGTACAGCACATCTGATTGGTGGAAATAGTAGGACAGAAGAGAAGTACACTCCCTGTTTAGGTTACCGCATATATTCATACATTCATGGTAAATCACTCGTTAGAGTTTCTCGGGCATTAGGTTATTCACTCCCTGGCCCCATGATCCGTAAAACCCACCTCCACGATACGAGATAGCATCAGGTGTGCGTCCTTTGTTATATATATCTACTTACAAGAAAGCGAAACAACACGGTGATGCAAAAAGCAACGCACCCGCATGCTAAAGAGCCTATCATAACGCACGCATACCCACTTTCCTCCCCCAAAGATCGTGAGATCGCATTGGATATGGTACTCTTCCTTTGAACCTGTGTATCATACATTCTTAGGTTAGTACTTGTCCCGTACCCCTCCTCCCCTCAGAATTACATACCCTCGAGTTCATCCAACTCAGCATCTAGCGCCGGCCCACTACCACGTGAAACCCCCGAACCACTCATGCACTCTTTGTGCGAAACTGAATAAAAATCCAACGCTTTCTCGTTTCTCGACGGAGATTCCCCTGGGTTTGTGTATGAATAATCAAATATTGGCAGAGGGAATGCTTACCGCCACCACCGCAGATTTCCAAGCGGCAGAGTAGAGTGTCATAGCCGTTTGTGTGTTTCTTTCTGTCGAACATTGAGGAAAACGGTTACCCAAGAATAATAGGCAGACTGCAAACACTTTACTAGATGCAGCGAAAAGAAATGCTCGCACAGAACAGCAAAATGACGTGGTTGGATCGGCAGATTCCGGAAGTGGGGGACTGGAGCCCGATGCCTGTCGAGCGAATGAACTCTCGATTCGATTGGATCCAAGGAATGAAGAAGCAGGAGGAGGAGTAAGCGAAATGGTGGGTTTTTTGTGGAGTGAAACACCCTAACCCTACCACTCGCCTAAGGGGGGCTGAAGGCTGAAAGCTGGTTACCCCAGTAATGGAGCTTTCAATATACAGTAGACACACCCCTCTCCCTTCCTCCTCCTCTCATTCCTCATCGCTCCGCGAGCCAGAAACCACTATTTACTTTTTCCCCCCTCTTTCCTCAGACACGTACTATATATATCGCCATCTTGTCGGCACTGAGTGGCATGAACCTCCAGACGAAACACTGCAGATGCCTAAAAAGTTCAAGTTTAGCAAACCACAAATGCATGCAAACTCAAATCCCTCAGCAAGGCCCTAAGTTGATAAAGAGTAACCTCGCCCAGGCAACTAAGTATCACAGTACTCGAGTAGTACCAAATCACAGCTGAACAACGTGAACAACGACGCTCCAAAAAGGACCCCCAACCAACCCCCCCTTTCGATAAGCAATAACCAAGCCCCCTTTACCAGTCAGTCTATCATCTAAGGGAGAAAAGATCTCCTGCATTGCTCACGTCTCTTTGGCTCTTCTGTCGACAGCTGTCTTGAATTGCGGTCTGGAACTAGGTGGATCATGAATGGATTGGTGGATGGATCGATGAGGTTCTTTCCACGAACTACCGGATCACCGCCCTACTCGCAGTAATATATTTCATCTTCCACAGTGCGGCGGGCCGATTGCCAAGCCTCCACACGCGCCCTCGTTTGAGGGGCTCTAAAGTTAGTACCGGTATTGTGTGAAGTACGGCGCTGTTAGATTCCATGGCTGGTGCGTCTTCCCGAGTAGATGCGTCATTCGATACCAAAACTTAAGTTTGCTGGTAGAAGTCAGAGATCGATGGCTCTGTCCAGCCCCAGCACACCTAAGCAAAGCTACAGTGCCCCAACAGCACTTTATAACTGCATTTGCACGTTGTAGATAATCTCGACCCCATTTCATGCGAAAAGAAAGGCTGGAATGACTGTGCTTGGTGGTAGGTGAGAGGGAACGAGATTTCTTACCAGTCGATTTCACATCCCAGTTGTGGGCGGGCTAAACTTGGATAACGTATAATCACCGTCTGGTAGACTAGGTCATGGAGGGGGTAAAGGGTGGTGGTAGTGAGAGGCCCAAGCAATCGAGCCGATCGTGACCTGATGCAAGGGAAACCACATGGTGCGGTCACGGAGCCTTCAGCGATGATAAACCAAACTCTACCATCGGAAAGGCCTTGATAGCGATCGCGGAACCGCAAGAATACCAAGAGTTCCACATTGTCAGTAGCCCTGTTGACATGGGTCGATAGTAACATACTTGTATTCCGACTGAGCCCTCTTCCTAAAATTTAATCATGCAAAAGATCATCATCTTTTAGAAGGTAAGTGAGCCTCAACAGGTAAAATCCTGCGGAGACACGATTTATGGGCTGCGCTTGCAATCCCGGAGTGTATGTCTGCCAGGCTACTAGGATCGAGTGCCAAGTTACCGCACGACATTAGAGTGGTATCCTCAGTGATAAGTGGCCTTTGATTTATTCTCCAACAGCATCATCATGGCTAAACGCCGAGGCACACTTCCCCGCAATTCAGGATGCGGTATGACCACAGGGTCCCTTCACCGCACATCAGTCCGCCTAGTCTGATCCCGGAAATGGGCTTTTGCGGTGGGGTCGAGCTTGGCAAAACCAATGTCTTATCTCGGTCAGAAAGCTACATGCGAGAGAAGCAGCTAGGCACGGCTAAGCAGGTGCCACAAAAATTAAGAAAGAAGGGAAGCGAGAAAGAGTCCAGTGTTGTTGCATCGAAGGGTGAGTGTTTACTTTGCGTTGGGCGGTACCGTGACCATCGGTACTTGAATTACGGTGCTTGCAGGAGCTCTTGTGAACTGATGTTCGCCTGTCAACTTATGCTGTTGAGAAGCGATGTACCAGCTGTAGCATCATTATTATCCTTGGGATTGCGCACTTTGCTGGTTACCGTCCTTGTGCGGCCGGTCACTTATCTCCTGACTGACTAACGCTTGGGGATTGGATACGTACCGCCGATATCCAATTGGCGAACAGTCGATTGGGGAGCAAACAGTCATCGCACATTGGGCTTGTAACATCACCCAACATACCATTTATCAGTCCTATGCGCACACTGAAGCGAGCTTCTCATGATAGCAGGTGGGAGGTGGGGGGCGAAGGCAGAACTGTGACTGACCGTCCTTCAATTCCTCCAGCACTGCTCGAGTAGCACTGGTGGAAGAATGGAGCCTCCTTCCAGGCGGTGTAACAAACACCCGCGTTGCACATTCGGTGACTAAGGCTCTCCGAAAGGTTAAAGTATGCTCTCTAAGAAGCGTATTGATTACAGGGCACGGATATGGTACTCGTACAGGCAGCATGAGAGCCCCTACCGGTATCTGTGATTACAATGCGTCGATCGCAAACCGCATTACTAAAGAGAGTAAAACTATTCATACCACACCTCGGTCCAGAGGAGTGTTAGTTCGACGGAGGAAGCCAATTCTTGGACGGGATATGTTTAGAAGGAGCAGGAGACTGGTCCAACCTTTGGGGAGAAAAAAGGGATAGTTTATGGGTCCCAATTAGACAATCGGTACTCGGATAGATCCATCGAGGAAGATATGCCTACTGACTATCTCTGGAGGATAGGTAATACTGTAACAGAACGCATGCGCACTCCCAATCCAACATTGCTCAACTGTTAACCAATCCTTAACCCTAGCAAAGATAATACACGCGCGGCCGAGAGGGAGTTGGACACCAATGATAAGATGGCAATTTCCAAAGAAAGTGTCCAACTCCAATTGGCCCCGGGCTAGTAATCCTCCGTCTCCACTACTACTAGCCACTTTTTAAAGTCTCCGAAATGGCTTGGTGTAAGCAGTGCTTGCCGTGGGCCGGGCCTACCGGAGCCTGCTGAAAAGTATGCGTAAGACTAAGCATGTATTGTTTTCTCTAACCTCTGATTTGGCGAAACACTGCTAGCATGGATTCTCAATGCAGACAATTCCTGTCTAGATTACGTGACTGATTATCTCATCCATTTGTTAAATATACTAGTTAGTACAGATATTGGAACGGAGCATAAAAAGTATTGAGAACTTGGTTTGAATCAGAGCTCAATTTTGATAAAAAGACTAATAAAAATCAGCGACAGAAGTGTATTTCACATCAGAAGTAGCTATGTTGATAACATAAGATGGCGATTTTATTGCATCTAAAAAAAGCTAAAACTTACTTGCCGCATATGTACAGTACTAGTACAGTACAAGTGCCCGGGAATATGTTTTCGTACACTTGGGCGCTAACATGGGTGCTTGAGACAAGGAATCAATTTCTTAGAAAAACGGTGATACATAAGTACGGAAACAAGCAGAAAAAACCCAAATGATAATAACAATACAGTAAATACACAGGAAGGTCAGTATAAATAAGAAAACTTTTACTACTGATCCCAGACAAATACTAATCAAGATGAGGGCTATGTTTTCGGACTTTGAATAACTGTATCAAGTATACAAGTTCCATAAGAATTCTAGAATAAGATACAAAATTTTTTTTTTCCGAAAAAAGGGAAAAGGGAAAGTGAAAAGGGATAACAGGAGAGGAGCAGCGAAGGATAAAGAATGGGAAAAGAAAGAGAAAAAGATCAAATGCAGTTGCACCATGCTATACTGTATGGCTAAAAATCTAAAGAATCTGTACAGGACAGCGGATACTTAGAGCAATGGATTAGGTTTTAGTATAAGAAATTTTAGAATTCAGAGAATTTTGTCCAGGACAGTGAGGTCCAAGACAACAAGGTGTGACTGCATGTCAAAGTACGAGTAGTCAGAGTAACTCCCTTGTGCAAGCCGAATCTAGAAATTAACAGAAGTGTCAATTAGTAGAATATAGAAAAAGCAATCAATTGTAAGTGTTGAGACTAAGTAGAATAAGAATTGCATAGTGGTAGAGGAAGCAGATTACCTAGTAAGCTCAAGCAGGTATGGAGTTAACGAGTACCTCAGGCTTGTTACCAGTAATGGCATCCTACTCCTCCTGGATTGCATACTGGAGGGCCTCATTTGTAGTAGGAAATGGGGAATAGCCTCATATATGCTGTTTTATTATTTGCCACACATTCTCAATAGCGCTTCAGTCAGGAGATAAAGGAAGCCAGTCAATAAAGTATCTCCAAATTCCAAGTTCTTTTATCTTATTTTGCGTATTTTTAGTACTGTGTGGTCCTGCTCCATCTTGATGAAGATAGATGCAATCTAATTACTCTTGAGACTGTTGCTACTAATAGCGGTGGAAAAGGGGAACAATATTAGTGGAGAAAGAAACTGCTTTAATTATTTCCCCTCATTCATCCTTATTCCAAAAGATTAGTAGACCAGTTGCTTTCTTGTGAAGCATCCCTAGACTATGATTGTCTCTAATTTTCCAAACTTTGGAGCAAGACAATCTTCAATTTCTTCCTCTCCTGCTTGCTGAGTAACTAATACCTGCCCACTTGCTGATAGCCCTCCCATGGTAAAAGCTGACTCATGATTTCTTATAACATTCCAGTCGCCACGGGTTCAGTCTGCATAGTAATAAGCCCAATTGAGTCTCTTGTCCTTTACCTATCTTGAGAGGCATGGGCATGCCCATGCAATTTGTCTTTGATAGCCTTCCTGGGGAAACAACTTTTCAGTAATATTGTTAGCTTAGTTATTGCAATTATAAACCTAACAAGATTGCACTCCTCGCAGGATTCCTTACTAATATAATGCTGATGAATAGAAAGTTTTCTTTAAGGAAAATAATCCTGCCAGGAGTGCAATCTCATAAGAGGTATAACAATTTTACTATTAGTGAACAACTAGAGAATAAAAAGAAAAAAACTTTGTGAAGAGGTACTTCATTTGCTTGAACTCTGGTAAGTCTAGTAATCTCAATCAAAGGTAGATAGTGAGTCTTTTGACTTGTGGTTACAAAATCAATTAAACTTTTTTTAGACTATATTTGTAAAAATCTTAGGTCATCCTATTTTGGTCTTCTGAGGTATAGATAGCGTACAGCAAATTGAGAAACTAGTACTAGTTGCAATTCCAATCTCCTTAGCAATACTGCAGAATAACTATGCAACATATGTATGAAGTGCCAGAATCTTGGATCAGAGAGAAGTATTAATCAGTATTCTCTCCTTAATAACTACAGGTTCCACATGAAATACTACTGGAGAAGGAGCTGCTAAAGCAGGAGAGAAAGTGCTTGAACTAGGAAGTATTAGGAATACTGAGATCCGATACCTAGGAATCACTCTAAGTAGGGTAACTCCACCCGGAAACAGAATCCCTGGTCTCCAACACCTGCCTCAGGCCCCATGATAGGGCCCGCACGTTATCAAACATATTAGTGTGAGTTTTGTCCTGTGACTATAATGCCACAGAATTAAAGGTATCAGAATAACACCATATACATCACCGCTGTCTGACCGACTGGATCCTGTTAGCGGGATATTTGGGAGACACCCAACAGCTAGGTCTGGGATGTAGAATGGGGTAAATCTGTCAACTAAACACAGAGCCACTAGGTTTCAACAATGTAATATCTTGGATATAGGCTGTAGGTAACAGGACGTTTTCGCATGCAAAGATGGTATCAAATGATAAAGGATTGCAACACGAAACCAATACATTTGCATTCACCCTACAATAACCAGAACAGTCTAGAAATTTGAGGAACTCTACTATAGAAGCCAATGGACTTCATGGAGTATCACAACTAGGTTTCAGAATACATTGTAGCTGCAGGAATGACTTCCAATACTACAGCAGTGATTGAAACCCTGTTATTCAGAGCAATGAAGAGTTGCCAACCGAGGGATTAATTGTCAATCTGGTGGAATACCTTCCTGAGAATTAGTGGGAAGACTTCCGGAAAATATTTATGTGTTGGGTAAGGAGTTATAAAGGTTTGAAGTCAGGTGACCTAGAAAGATTGTGATTATGACTACCTTCACTGATGCAACCCACAGATGAAACTGATCATTTCATCAATGACAGAGAGAATTGGAGCCAACTCAGTTCGACTTGAGAACTAGGCTATAAGTCTAAAGACTCTAATAATCGGAGAGCTACTATTGGCAACAGTATGGTTTCTAGTTAGTTATATCATAATTGCTAAAGAGGGTGTGGTGATTTTAAGGATCTTCAGGAGTTTGCACCTTTTAGGAAAACCCGACTTTGCGAGTTATAATCAGAGAGGTACATAGTTGTATAATAAATAGATGTAGTCTGTGAATACTCAGATGTGGAATATAAATATCAAAGTACCTCCCAAGCTTTAGATATCATCAAGCAATGGAGAAGAGACCTTAATAATATAATATTGTCTTCATGATGTAATTCTACTTTACCTATTTTTTCTTCACTCTTAGTAGTCATAAACAAAACGAGTGAAATCAGGGCCTTTCTAAACAATTTCTGTCGATGGAAATGAATTTTGATTGGCCCAGACAACTCTGAAGTTTATCAGGTTGTCTCTGCCTAACAGTATATTGTTAGATCTCCTTGTTACCAAGGCTCTCTACTTATCTACCTACATTTTCCTATCTTATGATGTGGCCAGGATACCAAATCTCCCACTGCAGATCCTACTCAAACGGAAACTTCTAAAATACTGACTTTCTAGCTCCTGTATATGGAAAAGAAGCTCACAACTGTGTAAAGGAGATGTCATAACCTCCTAAGCAGATAACTTCAGGG